GAGCGTCTCCTGGACAAGGCCAGTGGCGGCTGAACGTCCAGACTCTTGGACGGGTGGATACCGGCCATCTTGACCCACACCCTGAGCCCGCTAACAGAGGTACAGCAGCCACCTTGGCTAAGTGCATTCCCTGATCTGCTGGTCCAAATCCCTGCTTGACCCTGGCTGATAAACTATGCTATGGATAGACCACTGGAGAGTTTTTCCCTTTAAAATAAGGGTTAGTCCAAAGTTTCCACAACAACAAATGGTTCTTTGGGCTACTATGGTCCATGTCATGAGTCAAAAAGGTATTTGGATACACATCTACGTATGTTCTTTCCAATCAGCCTAGCTCAAGGTATTATGAAAACAGACTAATATTAGTGTTGTAGAAGTAAAAGTGAAGAAGTTTTAATGTATCACATGTAATAACTAAAACAAAATAAGTTGCCATTATTAAAGAGGGTACAAAGTATGAAATTGATTGTGTACCAACAAGTTGAAAAGTATTGTACTGTGGCAAAATTACTGTAAAGGTTATGATTTAATGGAACAAAAGCAGAAAAAAAGTGAGATGGACATAAAAGGATGAGTGTCAGAGAAGGGTGGACTACGTAGACAGACAGGAAGAGAAGGTATGGTGGCTTCAGGAGGCTCCAGGTTTGGCATTGAGCTAAGCCTAGTGAAGTCTGGCCTGCATCAGCTGCCTGCAGACAGTAATTGGTCATGACTGCGAGGACCCAGCACCCGCATGTTTTGTGGAACGATGGGATTAACACGTTATGGGTGCCTCAGGACCCGGCTGAGGAGCTGATAAGCTTTTTTGGAGGCCTTTTTGTGGGTGGTGCTCAAATGAGGCCCAAAAGAGGATACAGTGTAAGGAAAGTATGTCAAAATAAAATACAGTAAGTTTTACATTTCTTGTGTTCTGAGAACACAAGAAGTTCAGTTCACAAAGAAGTAGAAGTAATAGAAGATTTTGCAAGCAGTGAGTAAAATACTGTAAATGTTGCTTTATTTTGACCTGTAATTTTTGTGTCCAATCAGTCCCATAAAGTATGACACTATTTGTATGATGTGAGGGTGTCAGTGTAGGCATGTCAAGTTTGACATCATGATGTTCATTGCAGTTTGATGAGTGATTAGTTAAGTTGTTTTTCACTTTCTTTTCATTCCTGTATTTCTTGTGTTTCCACTTTCAATAAGGAAGTGTCCCTAGGAATGAATCACTCCTTTCTTCTACTTATATCCTCCTTATGTATATAAGCACAGTATATTCAAGAATTTTCTGCAGAAATATATGCTGACATAATCACAAACAATCACATATATCAATGTTTGCTTTGAAAAGCCCCCAAATGAGGATATTTGAACTACAGGTCTACATGAATGGAAAACATGAAGCTAAAACTTCATCACTTCTGTAGCCAGCCTCAAGTGGCCATTCGAGGAACTACAGTCATTGTTACTTCAGTGTTGGCTTCAATTACCAGCCACAGAAGTTGCTACTTGGTTGGCACCTATAAGTGATATTAGAACAGTTGGCTGCGAAGAGTAAAACTTGCTACAATGGGGAATATTCATGTATACTTATTTGTTTCCACTTATTTATGCATTGGTCTTATTTCATCCCCTCATTCATTCGTGTGGCAGCAAACCAGAGCGGGGTGACTCCTGTACAATGCTTCAACTGGACGGTCCCCCCTCCGTCTTATCGTGCCCTGCAGCTTGACTTGATCGGGCAATATAAATTGGACTTGCCCAGAGGAGAGACGCCGGTTCCTCTTGTGGGTCCACACATTGTTTCGTCTAGGCCTGTATTTATTTAGATGTAAATCAGCTCGCAAAGAGTGTTATGTCCTGTCCTTGTGTAGTGGGCGGTGGACTGGGGCTCATTTGTTGGAGGAAGTCAGCCCCATCGAGATTGGAGCTCTGCAGATTGTTTTCCATTATAAGGCTGTTATTGATGTGAGGGGGTGACATCATGTAGCCTCACCCTCCAAGGCAGGGTTGGTGAGAAAGAGGTCCCACGCCCATTTCTTATTCATTACTCAGCACTGTGAGGATGCTGGACTTTTCTATACTCTGCATTTTAAGCTGTACTGCGAAAGGGCTCCTCACCACCTGAAATCATCACACAGGATCAGAACATGCTGTAAATCAGTTTTTACAATACAATGAAGCACAAGAAAAGTATTAAATGATTACATGTTGAGTTATTGAGTTGTTAAAGGAGTAAAACTGCATTTTGAGAAGTAAGCTTATTTAAGCTACAGCTGGTTAGCTTAGTATAATATTTATAGGTATTTCATTAATGTATAATCACCTGAAAATAAGAACAGTTGTGTTTTTGTTACCTTAGGGTCCTCTTCCACTGTGTCTCCATGTTGAACTGCCATGTTTCTAGAGTAGCCCAGAAGGGACCTTTTTCATGAGGTTCATGGCCACCATAGTCCTTTCTCCTACAGGCTTGGAAGGAAGAGTGGTATTCAGTTGGCTGTAATCTGGAACTGCTAGTTGCCACTTAATTCACACTGAATAGCTTGTTTGTTCAATTTTTTAGCAGAAAACAACAACAGGGTTTTATGTGCTGGACAGTTTTTTAGCCAGAACAGTAACTTCCTGGAGTCCCAGCAAGGAAACTCTGGCACACAACCACTTGTAAAACGACAAATCTTCATCTTATTTTCATATTTGCAGTCCAGATAGCAGAGAGCAATATCAATCTCCTCTTATGTAAATCTCAGCAAGAAAGTATGTCGAAAAACTGTTCCTTTTTTCTGCACCTCCAGAAGTTTTGAGTTTCTAAAGGCGTCTCAGTCTGTTGATCGTGCATTTGAAAGCTACACACACACTACACTAAGTTTTGTTTACATTAGTAATATTAAGTGAGCAGTAAATAGTCGTATGTTTTACCTGAGATCAGTTAGGAAACAGACACAATGCAGATTTTTTATCTGTAAAAAGGCTTTCATATATGGAAATACTTACAGTTTAAATGGTATTGTCTCATTGTATTGACTTAAAGGGTGCAGAGTAAACTAATACAATATTTTCAGCTTGTTCTAGCACAGAATAACACACAAAACATGCTGCCCTTGATGAATAATAGCCTCCTCCTTGGAGCCAGTTAGTAACAGTTACATCACCTTTATTTGACCTGTGACTGGTGGATCGCCCTGAGCCAAACAGTGTAATGTTAAAAACCCCCAAAACACGGGGCGCCCGGATAGCTCACCTGGTAGAGCCCCACGCACTAAGGCTGAGTCCTTGCTGCAGCAATCTGACCTGCGGCCCCTTTACTGTGTGTCATCCCTCTCTCTCTCTCTCTCTCTGTCACTATCCATTAAAGGCAGTTAAGAAATATAAAAAAAAAAACACCTAACATAGGTGATATTGATCATGGTTATATGATGAGACCAAGCTAAATTCTATACACACATAAAACTGTTGCAGTGGTGCAGTGGTTAGCACTAGCAGCAAGACAGCTCAAGGTGCAAAATAGGTTTGAATGGTTGTCAGTCAATATGTACCAGGCCTCTAACAGACTGGAGACATGTCCACGATGTACCCAACCTTTCCCCCCAATGTGATTTTGGCTCAGGATAAGCAGGTATAAATAATGGAAGGGTATACATGTATAACATGTATATGATGCCCTAGTGGTTTGTAGACAGATAGGCTATTAACATGTCATTTAACATTTCCAATTTCCTTTAACTCTCAAGATCTCCTTCTTTAAATGTGCTCACAACATTCTCACATGAATAAAAATGCAATTTGGCTCTTTCTGCACACCACATACATGTTTGTGCCAATTCACACACTCTGATGATGGATAAACCAAAGAATCCCACACACTGTCCATCACTTGTGCTCAGTTTATTAGCAAATGCCACAAACTCTGAGGACCGACAAACATTGTTTGATGCCCAGAACCTCACCAAAGGTCCTCACCTTTACGTATGGTTTACTTGTGAGTAGTCTTATCTGCGGCTTCTTTACCTGAATCTTACTGCAAGTTTATTTTAATTTAATTCAATGTAATTTTATATTTTAGACCTATTATTTTTCTGTATTTTAATATTTTGTTTTTTTTACATACACATATTGATGTAAAGCATTGTATGTATGAATGGTGTTGTAAGAATAGTTTATTACTACTGTAAAACTTCAATTAATATCATGAACTCAACCTGCCTATATTTGGGACAGACCTATATGGGACTTTAATTTTGCACAAATCTCCTGCTCAGCAAAGATGGGAAATACTATTAAATTGTTTATTTAAACCAATTATGAGTAATTCTTTTGATGCTTTGGTGCTCATGCTTTCCATAAAATGAACTGAACTGATTGAACTGTGGAAAATCTCACTGATCTAAGGATGTGCAGCATATATGTCTATATGTCTACATGTAGTGACAAATGTTTAAACATTTATATTTGTGAAGGAGAATTAAGCAGCTAGAACTCGATCAAGTGGGCGACCCAGTTGGCTTTAAGAGGTTTTATACATCTAAATAATTTCTAGAAAATCCAAAAGAGGGCTCTAACTGAGACCTGTATTAATCAGAACGTGTAGGCACACCAGGCTAGTAAAGGAAATGTGCTACTAATTGGGGCTCTGCTTTTAATTAAAGTTTTTAATTTCCTTTTTTATTATTATTTATAAAAAATATAGTCAGAATCAATGTAGTTTTTTAATTAAGAGAAATAAAATATTATTATAAGGATGAAAACTTTATGGAAAGGCAACTTTTTAAGGTATTTTATGTTTGGATAACACTGTTATGTGTCATGTGAGTGAGTTCACAAAGACTGACTGTTCATATTAATAATTATTTTATTTATGGAATTAATGTTAATATTGTAAAAATTAAAATCTTCTAAACAATATTTATTATCTATACTATTGCTCCATGATAAAAACGCTTGAGTCAGTGTCCATATAAAAAGACACACCACCCTCCTTCCCTTGCACTGATCCTTTCAACCCTCATGCCATCCTACGGTCTCATGTCCTCTCCCGGCTTCCGTAGACATTCCTCCGCTGTCAGTGAGTGTGCGGTGACAGACAACCATCGCTGAGCCACCAATCCAGCTCCAAGTGTGAAACTATGGAAGAGATCAATAACATTGAAGTGGTTCCGTGCACAGAGTCCGACTACCTGAAGCCGTTCAGGGTGCACTACAACCAGGTGAGTTATCTCTGGTAACACCGGTGATCCAGAGGAGGCTGGAGGCTGGAGGGCTAGCCCAACCCCCCATTCATTGGCAGCTAGCAGGCTAGCATAACATGAAGGCTAAACTGACCTTAAACACAGACGGTGACAGCAACAATTTACCCTTTTTTTAATTTTATTTTAAAACACAATGATACCCGCCGTGTCCGCTGTGTTTTCACGTACGGTGGCTCAACAGTTTCCTCTGCGCTGGACGCGAAGCAGAGACAGCTGAGAGTCAGATATGAGCTAGCATGCTAACGTTAGCTAGCTGAAGAGGTTTTTTTTTGTGTGTTTTTTTTGTTTTTTAAGGTTGAGCATCACGTTTAACGTTAGCACATGCTTTACATTAGTGTGAGGAGGAGGAGGGTGGGTAACGAGGTTTACGCAGCGTTACGTGACAAGGACAGATGTTTTTTCGGTCTGTAGAGGCAGGTCAGGTGAGACAGATTGACTCCCATGTGAATGCAGTGTGTGTGGGGGTCAGAGGTCCTGACAGTTCAGGTTAACATGGAGCTGAAGTGTCCATGCATACGTGGAACAGTGTAGTGTAGTGTTGCCTTGTTCAAATCCTATAGGAAGGTATTTTAAAGCTAGTCTAAACGCCTGTTTGACCACACTTGCAGTGAAAGTGCAGGTCTGCTAATGCAGGGGAATATGCATACATCTCAGGACAGCTGCAGTCATTTACATAAGTGTGGAGTTATTTAAAGGTGTGGATTCAGCTGATCTCTTAATCAATGCTGCTTGTGTTGACAGACGACAATCTTTTTAGTTAGTTTTCAGTCCCTCCAGTACAGTTACGATGTTTCAGTCCCCATGGATTCTGCACAACCTCGCAGTTTTGTCCAACTTTTCTGCAGATTTTCACCAATCATTGTTGTTTCCTGCTCTAAATGTCAAGCCACACCTAACCAGACTCACTCCCTTGCTTCTAGTTGTGAAGATGCAGACCACGCAGACAGGTGCGACGCAAACGTCTCACATCTACCCGTCCAAACAGTGCGACAAGATGCCTTCGATTTTTAATTCTACCAAAACAATCAGAACCATTTCACTTTCACTTTCTCCTTCAATTTCATTGTAAAAAAAGTGTTAAAACATTGTGACAATCCCAAATTGATTTTTATTTCATCATACATAACGTATTCCAAGTTTGTTTGGTCTTTTCACACCATTACACTGACTAAGTGATAGATTCCTGAAGTCATCAGCACCAGATATAAAGAAATAGTAAGGATCTGCATGTTGTTGACTTTGAATATGACCAAAAACTTTCCTTCTTGAAGCATACTGGATACTTCACCTTCAAACCCAAACACATTTTTTGCCTTTAACGATTGCCCTTTGCTGGATGAGAAAGTGGTTTGATGAGTTTAATTTGTCGAGATTTGTTGATGTTAGTATTTAAAGATCAGGGCTGATACTGATCATCCCAAGCAGGCTGGATATCAGCCATGATGTGACAGATCTACATTGACTACAGCTTATTTGTCAATGTGTTTTATAAAATGCAGTGTTTCTGCTATCAGTTACATTCATTCAGTAATACCACAACACCCTCTGGCCTCATGTTACCCTGAATAAATATGATTCCATGTAGTGAAATAAAAGGATTTAGATTTGGGGAAAAGAGAGCAGGGTGTCAAAATCTGTACCAGGAGAGAAAAAATTGGATGAATGCATTATTTGTGTTGTTGGATATTGTAAGTGTGTGTGTTGTTTATTCATAGACACATACAGTACATATATGGAGGTCTATGTACATGTTGGTGGGGTTAATTTTGTATGTATGGACAAAGTTACACATTTAGATTGTTTCATGTTATATATCATCAGTTATGATGTTAACTCAAGGCACATTCTGCTCATACGTCTCCTCTTATATACATGTTGTATGAATTCGGTATTCCTGTAGACCCTGCTGGTCCAGGGCTTTAGGGTGCAGGTATATTCACCATCCATCCATTCAGTGGCAGGCAGAATAACTGTACCTTAGCTGCCTCAGTGTTTTGTAGTCAATGGGCCTACAATGTTAACTACATTAAGGAAATTGAAACATGACTCAAAATCATTAAACTATGCTTGACTCATCTGTGTTTTATAGGTTCGTCATTAAAAAGGTTCGTTTTTTTCTGCTGGGTCTTCCTGCTAAAAGAAAATTAAGTGTGATAACTGCGTGTCCTGATGGTCTCCAGCAAAGTGAGAAATGCTTCCTCACCCAAACATAGGCTGCAGTCCAGGATGAATTTATTTTTAGGTTAAAAATATTTGTGCAATTTCTCTGTTCCTGGCTTCTGTTGTGTGAAATCTGGATGGTGACAGTGGTGCAGAATAAGTATGGCACAACTCACTCCTGAAACCTCAGAAATGACATGGACATCTGCTTTACTTACACTGTAGATGATAATAAGATGTTATTTGACCCAGTCTTACTTAGAATAAAGGCTGTTTTGTTCAGTCTGGGCTGGTAACAAACGCTCAAAGTGGAAAAGACTATTTGAAATGTTCTCGTAGTGAAGAAGACAATGCGACTGGCGTCCATCTATGATTTGAAGTTGCTCTTTTGTAGTGTTGCTTTCCATTTAATAAAAAAAAAAAAAACTCTAGTACCCAGGCACTCATTCTAAGGGGAGCTCAGTGAGAAGGTTTTTTTTTTTTTCCCATTTGGGGTTCACACCTGTGACAGCAGAGGAGGGTGTGGGGTGGGGTTAAGCTTGTCAAGAGAATGGCGGAACGGCTAAGACAGCAGATGGACAACAAAGGAGATGATGGTGGACTCCCTCTCCGTCCTGTCCTCCCTTTCATCCTCATCATCTCTCCTGTGCAGCTCGGGAGGGGCTGTCCAGGGACTCCCCACAAAGGCCTTTCAATCACACTGAGGGAGCATCTCTTCCCCAAAACCTTTTATGTTCGTCAGTGCATCTGCAGCTTAGCCACTGGTCACTAACCGAACCCTATTCACACACACAGAAACACACTCTTAAAAGTAGATAATGTCATGCACAAGAGGGTCTCTTCATCATTAGTGTTTACTGGTGTTTTGTCTCCTCTCCCTCGCCTCTCTCTACAAAGCAGGTGATTGTCCCTCGTTGACTCTGGGAAACCCCTCTTATCTCTGTTGTCTCGTGCTAACGTTGAATCACGGGTTGCTACTTAGAGCAGGATGATTACCTTCCATTTATT